CACGGGCAAAATTTTCACGAGGTTCGCGCTCGCTCGTGCAATTAACGAGGCAGCTGTTAGCCGCGGCAAAAAAATAAATAGTTCCACTCGGCTCTGTTCTAACATTAAAACCGCTACAATAAAAATGAACAGTCCAGTGTTAATTCTCGAAGCAACGGCTATCGTGATTCGCGAGATTCTACGCGATACACGGTGGCTCTTTTCGCCGCGCCTAATAATACAACTTTTCTCGATGATCGTCGGTATCGGTGCCGGCGCGATGAAAAATATTTACGATGACGAGCGCAGCTCGCTTTGAAGTCTTGCGTAATAACCGCCGACGCGTAATTTAAAGACGGCAGAGCGTTTCGCGTCCGTGGACGATCCGTCCCCAAAGTACGCTCGCTTCGTAGTCTTCTTCGTCTCGCTCCTTAATTGTGGCGTTCGAAACCTTGACGAGGGTTGGTGCCGATTATTCGAACAAACAGCGAAAGTCGGAAACACGGAGAGCCGGGAGACAGATAACGAGAATCGAGGTACATAAGGAAACACGGTGAAGCTTATCGTAATGTAACGATAAGCGAGGAGCGTGGAAAAATGTTTCCGGAAAACTTTCCGATGGCTCGAACGATACGGATCGTTAAGAGGAGGACAGGTGCTTTGTTTCGAGACAGCATTATGCGGAGGCGATTGATACGCGTTCTCTCGCCGAGAGAGGCTCAATAGCACGCGCGCACACCGACGCACACAGCGCAGCCAGCAATGATAGCCGGCCAGCTGCGCTGTGGAGGGGACAAAGGACACCGACATTCAAAGCGATTTCTGGCTTTGTGTGTTCTCCCTCTTTCCCTCCGCCCCTCTCTATCTTCGACGTGTACAGGGTGCCCGAAACTTGGAGACGTCCAATTTCCGAGGAGTCGACGCGTTATTTCTATTCTACGGAATCAATTGGAAGTCTAGTTACGATTCGTTAGCTTTAGCTGTCGAGTGTAATCAATTTTCGAGATACACCGAAAAATCAAATTGGAAAATACTTGTTGCGCTGCTAGAAAATTTATACGTTACGGTTCGAAATAACAATATCTATGCCAATAACTTTACGTCTGGTATCGGTAACTGCATAGTTTCCAGCGCAACGCACACACGGATAATTATAGTAATTACCGCTTCTTCGTAACTCGGTAACGAACCATTCCCGATTCAACTTTGCACAGCACTTTTGATCCTGTTTATACGTGTAAATTAAACGCTCGCGGTTCGGCCGTCCAATTGTCGAACACCCTGTATATAAATTGTTCTATCTCTCTCTCTCTCTCTCTCTCTCTCTCTGTCTCTTTCCCACTCGCTGGTTCTCGAGCAGCGAGAAAATATTATGACGCAAACACGATAACGGCGCAGGCAAGGTCGGAGGAGAGCTTTTCCGATTCATCTAACTCGACAATCAGCACGTTATGCTGAAACTTTTATGCTCCCGGGTCTTTAACGAACCGCTTAACTTTATCGCCCGCCTCTCTGCCGTGTTCATAATTACGGCGACGGCTTTTAAACGCTTCGCTCGACGAGAAATTGCGGAGGGGCGCGGGGGGACGCGACGCGAGGCGCATTAAACATCCTGTTGTCCTGCACGGGCACGTGCGATTCGGTAATTTGCGACGGGGAATATTGATGCACGGTGACTCGGGGGATTTTCTGCGTTAAGTGCCGTGTGCTTCTGGGATTCGACTGACGACTAACACCGGGGGATCTAGCAAATGGACGTCTACGAATTTTTCTACGGATGATCTACGATAGTTTTCGAGTGGTACAAATTACGTCGGTACAGCACAATTAGTCACCTGCTTTTGGCTTGGAACCGAGATTACTAATATCGTACAGATCATAATAAATTTCGTTGGGAAATCAGTATTGTATCTAGGAATTTTCCTAGGTGCTCTAGGAAAATGTTAGTAGCTGGAACAGATATCTTGATATACCAGGGATCAAGATATTTCACAGTCGGACAGATTAGAGAATCTATATTTTGTTATAAATTGGTAATAGTCGGAGATGTGGAGCAGGGAAGCAGGTGTAGTCGTCGGTTTCGCAATGCCAAGGTTATCAGCGCGCAGGTGAGCGAGGGATCCGACGACACGAGCCACAGCCGCGTTCATTAAATTACAATTATAAAGTCGAAGATCTGTTTATAGCCTCGTGATTCATCAGTTCGCCCGACAGCGTTTCTCGCAGCAGGAAGTAATGACTAATAGGTTCCATCGAGGAGGTCTACGCTAGAAGCAGCGGCTGCTGCTGTCTGGTTCGTGTGCCTGCACACGCCCATTCCGCCTGGCCCAACAACTGTGCCCTGGGACACAATTCTCTTCTCCTCTCTATTCCCACTCGTTCAATCGCCGAATGTCCCCCCCCGTATACGGTTCAATTTTCAAACCGCTCTCCCTCCACTGATTCTTGATAGCTACACGAATCAAAGGGCCTAACTGTGAGTGTCGAAGATAATGGGGTTCTGGGAAATTGGTCGTTTTAACGATGCTGCGCTGTAAAAAGGCCCGGGAAGGTAGATATTATTTATCGTGCGCTGATATACCAATTAATTGTGAACTTTATCCGGAAGAGAGTTCATCGAATATAGCGAAGATTGAAATTAAAAGTGGAATTCTAGGAAAAAATGAGAGCGTCCCGAGTGGGATTCGAACTTGAACCTTTCGCAGATTTACGTAGCGCCTTAACCGCCACGGCTACGCAGCAACCTATCAGACTCTATTAACGATTTATAGTTTCATTATTGTTGCATTACTTACTTTAACGTCGACATCGATGCTGAAGCACGATACTGAATTAATGATAATAAACAAAGGAGCATTAGTAATCGTTACACGTGTACGAGTGTATAAGCGTTTTGAATGTTTAAGCGAATTTTTTAATGGTACGGTACAAATCGAGGTTATTGCGAGGGGACACGAGACTGGTTGGAGAGACTCATTGCCAGGTCCGTCACGATTCGATCGCACATGAACATAAATATGAGCAACGAAGGCTGTTTACTGGCCGCGTAGTATCGCACTGATAAAAACCTCAGACACAGAGAAAGTCATACGAAACGGTACACAACCGTGAGCGAATAATAACATTTTATATCGAGCGCGAGCGGTCTTATAGGTTAGCGACGAACGAACGGTGCACCGTGCTCGGAATATATTGTTTCGCGAGTAACGCACGGAAATAGATAATTGTGTAATTCGGTTAAGAAACGAGCGTTTCGCGTTATCTATCCAAGAAAAAATATAGAGGCAACCGTACAACCGTCCGAGAATATTTGTTGTATAACTGTCCAATACACAAGCCTTATTTTTAGTACGATTTCGTCGTCTAACCTCTGATTCACTCCGAATCCTAACCTCATTTTTGCTTTCGCAAGATATTTCAAACATATTGCCACCGACCATCGGTACGTACAGAACAGGCGAATCGCGTTCGAATATTTTCGTTGCCTCGACCAACCTAACCTCTAAACATCCCACATTCGGAGCGATATTTTATTCCGACTGGCGCCTCGTTATTTCAAACGTACCTTTCAACCGCATTGTATACTTTCACTGTCACTCGGACGTACGCGTGTCCGAGGTAAAAAGAAAAAAAGACGAAACTAAGATGCTTGGTTTATTTTTGAAAAACGTGACCAATGAAACACTTACTTCGACAGTGTATCGTAAAGATAATTTCAGCTACTGGCACGAGCATGATCGCTAGAGCAATCCTGTTCGAAATGTCTGCAAACGTCAGCGAAAAAACAGGAAGGCGAATGATCTGCGAAAATGTAGCGAAATAAAAGTACGGTAAACATATTTGACATCCGCCGTCCTTGTCGGTACGGGCGCGCGGAGCGACACCCGTGAGCGTACAACAATTTTCATTGGCCCGGCCCGACGCGACCCGAGTCGACCCGACCGACCCGGCCCGGAAATCGACGAGGCTCGGCGCGATATTAAATGTTTTCTACGTTCGAATTCCATCGACTCATATTCACGGTCATCGTTTCAGTATAAAGGCGGCGGATTGTCGAACCGTGACTGAGCCCGCATCGGACTCGGAAGGTCGGCTCGCAACGTAAAAAGGTGTATTAACCTTGACGTCTCTTTCCTTCGCCACGCAAGCGACTTGACCAAGAACTTTCAAACTAATAACGACCACGGCCGACAATCGTCGATAGGCGACAAAACGAACGAAACGGAACAACGGCCGTTGCTGGTTGCGCGAATATACCCCGCGGTATATAAATCTGTTAAATCGGTGACTATAGTCATGGCAGGGATGGGTCGTTGACCAGCGCGCACTCTATGGTAGACACCGGCATCTGCGCTCGAATACTTCAAAACAAAGGGACACCGGTGTGACCCCGCGCACAAAACACGCACATCTTCCGTTTCCGTGGAATTTTCGAAAACGAAACGCCTACATACTCGATTCCCTTTATCGCTCTATCGACGAGTACGAGACGAACTAACCTCTATCTCGGGCATCCCGTAGAAAACCCGGCTTCTTGGCACGATATACAAACGTCACGATCAACGACTAGATTCCAGTGGAGTACCGTTCCCATGGGACATTTCGTACGATCGAAGCGAAAGAAATTTCGGAGCGGCAGTCGAACGGAACCGGTCGCTGGCAAGTCAACAGTTATTTACTACTTTGTTTTCGCAGCTCCGAGTCGAAACGCATTCGTTCGGCCATTGGGAAAAGTCAAAGAAAGAATCAGGGGCAACGCGAAAAAGAGTTATAGCTGGCGATGTTGGCCGCGTTGGCGGATCAATAGAGCCACTTAATAGCACGGGGAACGAGAGAAGAAGAAAAACAAATGCTGTTCGATCAAAGACCCACCCTGGCAGCCGTAGCACAATGTTGAAGCTCTTATGTCGCGGTCGGAGCGAGACAGAGAGACAGAGAGAGAGAGAGAGAGAGAGAGAGAACGAGGGACGGAGGGGCAAGAGGGAAAGGGGGACAGAGAGATAGACAGAGAGCGTACGTACCGCGCGAGCGCCATCCTGACATGAGATAATCCAGGTCCGGTAGGTGTCGAGAGCAAAGTATCCAGATCTGGAAGGAACGCTTTATCGCCGGCACTAAATCCCACTGGACACATGCGCGTAAATTCCTGGTCCTCGTACACACGATCTCGTCATAACTACTTCCGGTGGTATTTTGGGGTCCCGGCTTCGAGGAGCCTCTCCCAAAAAGACAAAAATCTACGTATACGTATATCCCGGCGGTATCACTTGGATTTTCTCTCGGGGCAAACTTGTGGCGTCCTCGCGCCTACGATACGCAACCAGGGATGCGATACTCCCTACGCTTCGCCGCGGGTCCTCGGACGGTTACAACTCACTGTCACTACCGCATTTTCACTGCCGTCGTGTCCACCGCGATACGAGAAACTGG